GCTACAATGATTCATCTTTTTTTTTTATTGTTGGTTGTTCAAAACATTACATAGTTCTTGATATATCATATTTCACACTTTGATTCAAGTGGGTTATGAACTCCCATTTTTACCCCGTATACAGATTGCAGAATCACCTCAGTTACACATCCATTGATTTACATATTGCCATACTAGTGTCTGTTGTATTCTGCTGCCTTTCCTATCCTCTACTATCCCCCCTCCCCTCCCCTCCCCTCTTCTCTCTCTACCCCCTCTACTGTCATTCATTTCTCCCCCTTGTATTATTTTTCCCTTTCCCCTCACTTCCTCTTGTATGTAATTTTGTATAACCCTGAGGGTCTCCTTCCATTTCCATGCAATTTCCCTTCTCTCTCCCTTTCCCTCCCACCTCTCATCCCTGTTTAATGTTAATCTTCTTCTCATGCTCTTCGTCCCTACTCTGTTCTTAGTTACTCTCCTTATATCAAAGAAGACATTTGGCATTTGTTTTTTAGGGATTGGCTAGCTTCACTTAGCATAATCTGCTCTAATGCCATCCATTTCCCTGCAAATGCTATGATTTTGTCATTTTTTAATGCAGAGTAATACTCCATTGTGTATAAATGCCACATATTTTTTTTTATCCATTCGTCTATTGAAGGGCATCTAGGTTGGTTCCACAGTCTTGCTATTGTGAATTGTGCTGCTATGAACATCGATGTAGCAGTGTCCCTGTAGCATGCTCTTTTTAGGTCTTTAGGGAATAGACTGAGAAGGGGAATAGCTGGGTCAAATGGTGGTTCCATTCCCAGCTTTCCAAGAAATCTCCATACTGCTTTCCAAATTGGCTGCACCAATTTGCAGTCCCACCAGCAATGTACAAGTGTACCCTTTTCCCCACATCCTCGCCAGCACTTGTTGCTGTTTGACTTCATAATGGCTGCCAATCTTACTGGAGTGAGATGGTATCTTAGGGTGGTTTTGATTTGCATTTCTCTGACTGCTAGAGATGGTGAGCATTTTTTCATGTACTTGTTGATTGATTGTATGTCCTCCTCTGAGAAGTGTCTGTTCAGGTCCTTGGCCCATTTGTTGATTGGGTTATTTGTTCTCTTATTGTCTAATTTTTTGAGTTCTTTGTATACTCTGGATATTAGGGCTCTATCTGAAGTGTGAGGAGTAAAGATTTGTTCCCAGGATGTAGGCTCTTCATTGATGATATCAAAAAGATTTACAGGTAGCTTCCCCTAGTGTCTTAAGGAAAACCCCACATTCCTGGTAATGAGAATTGTTTATTAGATCAGCTAGAAATAGTGCTAGTCAGAACACCAATGTGAATGGCAGGACAGTGAGATTGCTGGTACTTATTTACTACATGTCCAGAGCATCTACAATATTGTACTTTGAGCTGTCACATTATAGATGTGAGTCTATGCAGATGCAGCTCCCTGGAATTGTGAAGTGCACACCCAGAGCAACTGTATATGATTGTTCCAACTGTCTTTTAAAAACCTTGGGAAAATAGAAACAGAAATAAATCCCACATTTAGGCTGTAATATAATTATGTTAGACAACCAACAAGAGGTTTTTCTTATTTTTAGAAGAAAATGTGTTTTTCTTGGACTGAGAAATTTAATAGCTAAGTTATACATGCAATGGATTCAAATTGAGATTTTCAAACAGATTTGCCTCAGTTCACATGTTCCATGCATTACTGAACCCAAACAGCTATCCTTCAGAGTACAAGTGGCAAGACTAATGAAATTAGTATGCCTTACCTTCAAGTGGCATTATATACAAGTGTCCAGGGTACTAGTAGCTGTTTACATGGTTGCTATAAAAAAAGTTGCTCACATACTAACAGAACTATAGGGGAGGGCTGGGTGTGATATGGCACATGACTGTAATCCCGTTGGCCAGGAGGCTGAGACAGGAGGATCACGAGTTCAAAGCCAACCCCAGAAATGGTGAGGTGCTTAAAATACAAAATAGGGCTGGGGATGTGCCTCAGTGGTTGAGTGTTCCTGAGTTCAATCCCCAGCACCCTTCCACAAAAAAAAAAAAAAAAAGAACTATAGGGTAGGCGCCTGGCATGGTGGCACATGCCTGTAATCCCAGTGGTTTAGGAGGCTGAGGCAGGAGGATCGTGAGTTCAAAGCCAGACTCAGTAACTTAGTGAGGCCCTAAGCAACTCAGCAAGACCCTGTCTCTAAATAAAATATTAAAAAGGGCTGGGAATATGGTTCAGTGGTTGAGTGCCTCTGGGTTTAATCCCCACCAGGTTAAAAAAAAAAAAAAAAAAAAAGAACTGTAGGGCAGGCAATGCCAGTCTAAGCTGAAACAATATCCAAAGCTAGAAAGTTGGGACCAGGCTAAGGAATGGGGGACAACCTAGGGACAAATTTGAAGATAGAGGGGAGGATGGAAAGAAGAATGTGCTATGAAAATTTCTTATAATAAATGAAACATTTTTATCTCTAAAGGCAAAAAAAAATAATACTTGAATGCCAGTATCATAAACCATTACCATCCTGAACATGCTTCCATATTAAATTTTAATTTAAACCAGAAAAACATTAATGGTTTTTTAAAAATAATTTTTAGCTGTAGATAAATACAATACTTTTATTTATTTTATGTGGTACTGAGGATTGAACGCAGTGCCTCAAACATGTGAGGCAAGCTCTCTACCACTGAGCCATAACTTCAGCCCACAAGAACATTAATGTTAAGAAACAGTTTTTAGAATCTTTCTTAAGAAAAAGTTGGGGGGCTGGGGATGTGGCTCAAGCGGTAGCACACTCGCCTGGCATGCGTGCAGCCCGGGTTCGATCCTCAGCACCACATACAAACAAAGATGTTGTGTCCGCCGAAAACTAAAATAAATAAATATTTAAAAAATAAATAAATAAATAAATAAATAAAAGAAAAAGTTGGAGGGAGGAAAAAAACTGTAAATCAATATGATATACAACATTATCCCCTACCACTTAGGCACATCTATTTCAAAACTTCTGTTTAATTATAGGTAACTCTTTCCTTCATATCAAAAACAATTTTATTTATGTAGGGGTTGGGTAGATATAAGCTCAGTATATATTGCTTCAGTTTTTAAAGGAAATTCTGATACGTAAGAGAAAAATGTTGCATAGTAAGCAAGTGTGCTGAATTTGCCATGTGTAAGAACATGTTTTCTGTCACATGCAAGCTTAGCAATTTTCATCTACTGCCCCATTATACACATTTATATGTTAACAGTAAATTCAAAACATTTAAAACTTCATTGTTCCCAGGACATGTAGAAAATTCTAGTGTTTATGTTCTTTAAAAGAACTGAATGACCTAAAGAATACTACTTATTTCTAACAATTCAGTCTTCTTTCTTGTACCACCAAATTAACTGATGCGTTAAAAGTAAACTGGAAACATTTGAAAATATAGCGAGCCCACCACATCTACAGGATTCCTGCGTTTTGTGGACTTACAAACAAGCTGGATAGTCTGAAAAGTTTTACTTCCTTCAAATAAATCAGACTTTTTGTCTCTGTTACCTATGCACAAAATTGGGTTCCCAGCCAGGCGCAGTGGCACATGCCTGTAATCCCAGTGACTCCGGAAGTAAGGCCCAAGCAATTTAGCAAGACCCTGTCTCTAAATTTAAAAAAAGGCGGGGTGGGGGGGTGGGGGTGCTGGGGATGTATGGCTCAGTGGATAAGCACCTCTGGGTTCAATTCCTGGTACCAATAAAACCAATCCAACTTAAAATAATCACAACAAAATAAACCGGATTCCCTTTCACCTACAATCTGGTGCTGAGATCCAACAAGGCTGATGGCAGTAAAGTAGAGCTCGGGACTGGGATTTCTCCCATGTGCATTTCAAATCTGAAAAGTTACAAAGCTGCTAGACAAGTTGACTCCCACTCTGGTGTTGCTTGACCTTTTGCTTTATTATCAACCCCCAGGGTACCCTATTTACTGATGTCAACCAGGAGCCTTTTTAGACATTTTCCCATTGAAATTTTAATACAGATATACTATAAATCTTTTTTTTGAACGATACGTATATTTGTGCTTTATATTCAAAATTTTCACACACCCTTCTATGAACCATTTTTCGCCTGTTGGGGGCGATATCATCCCTGTTGAAAATGTAGGTTGTGAAATAAAAGCTATATAAACTCAAGCCCACATTTAATTGTCATTATCAACAATGGTTTAACACTCTTCAGTCAAAACAATTATATCTAAATCATTTTCAGAATACAAATCTTTAAAAATATATAATCTATGAAATACATAAAATTGAGTAAAACATTGTCCCAGCAGTCAGTAACACCCTGATTATTTTGTTTTTATTTTTTGCAATTTGTTGGACTCTACTTGATACTTTCTCATGGAACCCAAGACGTGATTACTATTGAATTCTGTACACATTTCAAAAAGGGAAAAACAAAAACAACCTTTGAGAAAACATTTTTTTCTGGATGGTGGCAATTGATAATTTGTAAAAGAAAATAGAAAACGCCCATAGAGAGTCTCATAATTTTCGATTTACAGAAGAAATAGACTAACTTTTGCTACTCACAAAATAAATGGCCCACAAATCTATGTGTGTCATAAGAACAAATTGGTGCTTGATAGACAATCGCTGTGCCATTTGCATATACAATTGGGAGAAACTTCTCCATCTGAAAAGATTTCAGACTACTCAAGTTCAATTACAACTCAAAAGAAAAAAAAAAAGCCAGCCCAAAACAAACAAACAAAAAAAAAACCAAACAAGAACTTCAGCATTTTTCAAATACTCATGGCAAGAAGCTTATTAAGCCCAAGAAACAGAATAATTACTAATAAACACAGGATATATCCTGTCCACTATAAAGAGTGCTCTGCATTTTTATATTGTTTCAAAAATAGTGAGGGCAAAGAAAGTCTTCTATATAAATCAGTAAAAATCTTCATCACATTATAAATCTGTATAAATCTTCATACCATTAAAAATTGAGCTCACCTACCTTCACTGGTCCATGTTCATTACCGAAGCCCTGCACCAGTTGCACATAAGACATTATGAAAATATTCACCACTGCCCACTCTCTGTACATTTTGAATATTTTAATATCCACTGATTACTACGCAGTTGACATCAGGCAGCTAGAGAAAAAATGGTTTCAAAAGGCATTCTCCAGAAGAAGTTCAAACCCCCAGAACCTCACATGGAAAAGCGATCAGTTGTGATCAAAATCCAATGAAATGACTTCAATTAGGCAAGGTCCTTTTTTTTTTTTTTCACAATCCTAGTGGGGGGGATTTATAAAAAAGTTTTAAAATGTTCTCATGCTCCAAAAATAATCAGGAGGTGATCATATCTCCAACCTGAAGTTAGAAAGCATTCTACATTCATTTCATGTCCAGCAAATTTTAAAAAAATTAAAAATCTCTCCACCCTAAGCCCTAGGTTCTAGTTGCTTTGTAGGGAGGTGGAGCAGCCTCCAAGGCTTGCAGCTACAGAAAGCTGGAACCCAACTCTGGATTAAAACTTTTTTTCACAACCTTCATGGAAGCTTGCAGAAGCATGTGTCTTAAATCTGACACAGATTTTGGCAGAAAATGCAGGGAAGTCTTGGCTGTAATCCTGTCCTGTTCCTACCAATAGCAGGGCAGTTTTAAAAACTGACTCCAATGCTCAGGGCTGCTGTTATTTTAAAGCAGACAACCTGTAACATGACACCTCAGCACATAGTCTTGATGGTTGTATTGCAATAGGATTGCTTAGGAAGGGACCTCAGATGTTTGTGCCTGCTGACAGTAACACAGAAACCAATCAAACAGGCTTCAAAAACCCACATGTGTACAAAAATAACAAAACACTGATACATACCGGCAAAAAGGCAAAACATAGACAAAAGGAATTTTGTAACAGAAGCTTAATAACTTAGGTCAAAATGAAGAACACTGATTTTTAAAGATGTAGCAATTAGGTTTATTTGCATGTGCCAGGAAATATCCTACATACATTGCCACAAAAACCATGTTATCACTTTAATGTGGAATTCTTTAGAAGCACTGGCTAAGTCAGTTTTGGAAACTGAATGCCTCAAATGGCTGGACACCACAAATGGCAAAATTCTAGGAAGCATCAAGACCTATTCTGGGCTCTTCACTAGTTTCCGATCTTTGATTTCCAGGTTTTAGCCCTTTCGAACCCATTTTTTGCATTTCTGAAATCAAGAATGGCCTCAGAAATTTCTTCATTTGTGTTCATCACAAATGGACCTAGGACAGAAAGAGACATTCAGAAAGTTATGGGTGGCGATATTTTTATCTATGTATTTGTGTAGTTTCTAATTTGAGATAAAATCTAAGTGTTTCTGAACAGCAAAAGTTTATTTTCCCAGAGGACTGTGTTACAGGTTTCCTACCTAGGATTGTATATGATCTCAGATTACTATAAAGATCAAACTTTAAATGAACAATTGCAATTGCATCTCACCCAGTCACTGAAGGTACCTCACCAGTAAGGACAATTTCTTTATTCAAAACATTCTTAGATTTGGTTCTCTATATATGCTTTACAACCATACTTTGTAGTTTTTATTTTTATAGCATTAAGTGACATCAAGAATGGCACCAATCTGATATGACAAACTGGCAAATCTGATCATAGTTTAGGTGCCTAAGCAGTATATTAGGCTATGTATGAATATGAAGGTTTTTAAAGCATTTTTGAAAATTAGCAGCATCTCATTGACAATAAACAGGAGATTACAAAATTTCCAAGTCAAGAAAGCATCATTTTTTTGACTCCCTAAGGGTCAGCAGATTATTTTCTGTGACATGCCAGAGAGCATATTATTTTAGATTCTGTGGGTCCACAGATGTCCATCTCAACTACCCAACTCTCACTGAAGCATAAAAAGGCAGCCACAGACAATATGAAAGTGACTACCTATGACTGTGTTCCAACAAAACATCATTTACGAAAACACACTGTGGACAAATTTGGGTCATGGATGATAGTTTGGTAATCTCTTTCTCGAATTCCTGGATCTGAAATCAGGTTTTGCTAAAAGTACACAAGTTCTCCCCTAATTTATCAGAAGGAAAAGTGTCTGTCTTGTCCCTTTTCTTCACACATTGTAGGGGTAATGGGGCACTGGAGTTATCTCAAGGCCCACTCTCATTTGGTAAAGGCAGTGTCTTGAAAGCAATTAACAGACTTGCCCTTTCTATATGTTTCTTCTACTAGCCTGCAGAGGCTCCTGGCATTCCTTTTCTGGAACTCTCTCCACTAAGGGTCTTCCTCTGGGAGACCCTGACTTATATATAATTTCATTACTTCAAAGGAAATAACACATTCAAATTTCTTAACCATTATTAGCATATCAACATAGATTTGGTGATCACTATAATTTAAAACTTGAAAATGAAGACACAGGATAATACACCTGACCGATGTTGAGTATCTTTGGGGAGATTATGGGAAATAGAATCCAATAGGAAGAGAAAATTCAGTAAAAGCCATCTACATTCATTCATTTGTTCTATCTATTAAGTATTTATTGAATACCCATTAAATGACAGACATTTTGCTAGAAGCTAGAGACACAGAGGTGAAAGGTGAATGACCTAGAATTTATCACATAGACATAAAAACAAAATAAAAAATCAAATTACAAAACAGTGTGATACATGGAATAATAAAAGTATGTAAAATCTACAGAATCCATATAGAAAGAGGAGGAGGAGGGAGCCAAGAAAGGATTCAGAGAAAGTGAGGTTCAGTTAAACAAAGAAGAATGGCACTGTCAGAACTATCATAATACTGGGGGAGTTCAGGATAGAGTCACAGTGCTGCAAGGCGGGAGTGAAGGGCAAAAATGAATGGGGATTTGAGATGCAGGAAGAGACCAGACACTTTTGGGCTTTGGAGGCCATCTATAGGAAGAAGTTTGGACATAATTATGTAGGTGATCAGAAAGGGTAAATAGGAAATAACATGATCTGATGTGTTGCTTCTAAAGGCAATTTTGGCATTGGGGTAGAGAAGCTGTCTGGCCTGGGAAGCTGAGTCCGTCAATGGTGGAGCTAAGGGTAATGACATACAGGATGCAGGAGGCTGTTGGTAGACAAGGAGTTTGGCTCTGTATATTTTGACACAGAGGTATTAGAGACAGTAAAATGGTTTCCCAACAGAGAGGTCTTTGGCACATTGTTGGGACTATGGATCTGGGGCTCATGACAGAAATTGCATCTGGAAGTGAAGGTTTGAACTGCATCAGGCAGAAAAGAATGAGAAAGACCTTATATACTGAATAAATAATAAATCCAAAAGAGGGCGGGTGCAGTGACGCACGCCTGTAATCTCAGCAGCTCAGGAGGCTGAGGCAGAAGAATCACCAATTCAAAGCCAGCCTCAGCAACTTAGAGAAGCACTAAGCAACTCAGTGAGACCCAGTCTGAAAATAAAATACAAAATAGGGCTGGGGATGGGGCTCAGTGGTTGAGTGTCCCTGAAGTCAATTCCCAGTACCAAAATAAATAAATAAGTCCAAAAGAGGACCTTGGAGAAGCCAACTTTTTAAAGGACACAGAAGAAAGGGACATGGAAACTGGAAAATTAGATCAGGCCAAGGACCGATTTCCTGCACATCATAATTTTCCTATAGTTTGTGCTTGTGGAGCACCACTATCATGTACAAGCTATTTTTCTGTAGTATGCTTCTGGGATTCAATTTTGACACTTTCTGGGGTATTCTGCCATGTCTCTCAATTTATAATGCTCACATAAATCAAACACCTGGAAATCTTACTAAAACTCCTATTTTGACAGGAGATCTGGGGTGGGGACTAGGATTCTGTATTTCTGATTATCTCCCAACTGATGATAATCCTGCTAATCCCTGGACCACACTTGGAGAAATGAGGCTCTGATACACAGGGAAACACTAGAAGCTTAGAGCCCTGCAAAGCCATGTTCTGGAAGCTTCTCTCCTCAGAGACTCGAGAAGAAAACAGAATCCAGAAAACATCTTGGTGACAAGAGGAGCAGGGTATTTATTAACTAATTCATGAAAACAGTACTAGTTCTCACATAGTCGAGAGACAGTGGTGGCTACCTTTAAACATTCTTAGGTAAAAGGAAAACTTAAATTCTGAGCTTTAGAAGCTAAATAAACAAAATAAGCAAACAAAATGCTTTGTTTCTTAGTAACTGATATTTTAAGAGACATACTATTTTGTTAGGTTGATCTGAGTTTGTATTTGTAGGCATACCTAGTATCCCTGTGTTTCAAGCCATTGGAAGAGGATTCACATATATAAGTGTACAGTGGTCTTGAGCAGTCCCCTTTAGTCTGTTACCTAAGTCTTTTCTGTACCAGGGGCTGAACCCAGGGGTGCTTAAACGATGAGCCATAACCCCAGCCCCTCCACCCCCGCTTTTTTTTTTTTTTTTTTAAGACAAGATCTTGCTAAATTGCTGAAGCTGGTCTCAAACTTGGGATCCTCCTGCCTCAGCCTCCTGAGCCTCTGGGATTACAGGTGTGTGCCACCATGCACAGTTCTGTCACCTAATTTGGTTGGACCCCTGTTTTTCATTACAATTGCAGAGGAAATTGCCTAACTTAAAAGATTTCAATCCCACACACCTTTTTCCTACCTAAATTCTAGTCTCTACAAATAGAGATTATGGCCCTACTCAGTTTGTATGCAGCCTTCTTCTAGAAGAACAATTTCAATGCTGTTAGGTCAAGATACTACTAACTTTTGGAGTGGAAAAGTTAATATGCAAAATGGATGTCATGAACTATAGGGGTTATTATTTAATATGCCTGCTGAATTTATTAATAGAGCCAAAAAAAGAATATTTGTAGGACAATCCATGTTCTTTAAACTTATGATCAGCTGGGGTTTATCTGCAATCACTGTGTATATCTGGGAATTCATGTAAGGCAAGGTAACACAATGATGGATTTTAATGCATGTTGAATTTAATAATTAGTAAAGCAAACATTTGTTTTGTAGGTATGCATCTAAATATTAAGTTGCATTCTAGGTGCCTTTAAATGTTTCTCATTTAATCAAATGCCAATGATATGAGAAAATCAAGATTCAAAGAATTGAAGTGACTGGGTACTTAATGTCAAGATTTTCTGCCTCCAAGTAATAGTACTACTACAATGCCATAGTTACCTTATTCATTTTTGTAAGTAAAGAAGAATGGCTGGACAGTTATAGAAACTTTCAAAGAAATATTATTCCTAAGAGGTCCATATTTTCATTAAAAATACAATAAACTATAAGGAAAATATCTGCTATGGTTTGAATGTGGTTTGTCCCCTCAACTCGTGTTGAAAGAAAATTTTTATTGCCATTGTGGCAATATTGGAAGTGGTGCCTTTAAGAGTTGATGAAGTCATTAAGAGGGGCTAATGCTTTTCTCTAGTGAGAGAGTTTTCATTTTTCTGCAGCTGGATAAATTACCATATGAGTCAGTTGTTTCAAGGCAAGGACTCCCCTTGTGGTTTTGCCTCTTAGGCATGCACATATTTACCTTTCTGCTTTCTTCCATGAGTTTAAACAGTATGAGGACCATACTTTGCTGCCATGCTCTTGAACTTGGCAACCTCTAGAACTGTAAGCCAAAATAAAACTCTTTTCTTCATAAATTATCTCACCTCATGTATTCTCTTATAGCAACAGAAAATAAACTAAGACAGTATTAAAACCACTATTTTTTTTTTTTGGTAAAGATAAAAATGATATTCAAGTCCCCAATATACTGCAGAACCTTTTTTTCAAGTTGAAATCCCCTATGATACAATACAAAAGCACTATTTGATTCTTC